AAGGAGGTACGGGGGGTGGGGGTGGGGGGGTCCCCCTGACCCAGAGCGGTGGGGACCTCACCTCGGCAATGTCAGGCGCCACGACAACGACGTCCCGTCCGCCGTCGCCCTTGCCTCTCTCCCACACCAAGCTTTACCTGACGCTCCGTGAGGCTCCGTGGGGCGCTATGCAGATGATTGAAGTGCATCGGGGGCGTGGCGTGGCCGGCCCGGGCGGGGACCGCCGTGGGGCCGTGGGGCAGTGACGCGGCGCCCTCCTACGCAGTCATTACAGCGACACAGCGCACAGCGCGTCCCGCCCAGAGCAGCCGCGGGGCCCTGCTCCTCCACTGCACTCCGGTAGCTCGTGCTGGCGGGGCGGGGCGGGGCGGGCGGGGCGAGCTCGCGATCCGCTGAACCGAGGAAGTTGCCCAACACGACGAGCCGCTCGGCGCTTGCGGCGCTACCGAGGCACAAGCGCGCCGGTGACAAGCCCCTCGCTGTCTCGCTCGCACACTGTGCGACAAAATCACTGTGATTTACAAATACCTTTATTCATCTTGTATGGTTGAAATAACAGCGAGTAGGCAAACCACACACATGCATGCGGTCGCGGCACGGTCGACCTGCATGGCAAGCGTGCGGTCGGCGGGCGCAGACCGCCCGGGCGGTAGGCCACACCGGCGCGCACGCCTGCTCAACAGGACTGCCTACCCACCCGGCGCTACGAGCTTTACCCAAATTTCGCAACATGTAACATGTGTGTTTGTTGGAGCCTCGTCCTCGAATTCCGTGTGGGGCATAAGTAGATTATTTTCGTTGAGCCGTTTTAATTTCTTTAACATTAGACAGGTGTTTTCTGGTAGCTTGTTACCGGTTGAAGCTGGGCTGCAACCCACAGCAGATTTGTAGTTGCCTTTTGCGCTCTGTACCCTACACTAGGTGCAGTGACTTAGTTACTAATAGCGGCATCTACAGAAACGCCGTAAATCGTCCCGTATTGACTCTAATTTTTACAGTGTATTTATCTCAGCAAACAAATTATTTAGTACCTCTGATAGCGTTGATATCACTAAGACCATGATATCACGATATTAATAAAACCAATAATCTGAAAATGATATATCCCTCATCAACTATCAAAGTGCTGACGATATGGCGATTCTGACTTCCGGACTAGGGCTCCCTCTCCTGCGAAATAACTGACCTGAGAACGATGTCGTAACGACGTCGACTTCTCTTTCGGGCTATACATTTCGATATCCTACTTCGCATTGGCGGCGCGGCACCCTCGCCTCGCACGCGCCGGGCCCAGCGGGGCGCTCCGACCGCCCTGAGCCTCCCGCCGGGCTGCCGTCGCAAAAAGAGGAAATACGAGACTGGGGGCAAGAAGGCAAGGTAGCAGCCGTACTTATGTATTTATTAGTTCGTTTTCGGACGCCGTCTGCCCCCTTTCGACGAGTCACTGCAAATGTTAAAACATATTGCAACATATTGACAGGCGTGTCAAGATCCATTCACAGCTTTGTAAACAGCAGTAACAATATAACTCACAGAACCATCGTGTGGCAGGGGCGTTTACTACAGTAATATTTGGTTCTCCCGCACGAAAATCAGATATGACTGCCACAAAATTGTTTCGAGGCAAACATGTGAGACGTGGGAGGTCGAAATTCTGACATTAAAACTATCGTGTCCGAGCTGTGCCAATATACCAAGCAGTAAAAGCACAAGCTGGGCCGAAAGCCCCGTGTACTTCATGAGTTCTGCTTGTAGCGCCTGGTGGGTAGGCACTCCTGTTGAACAGGCGTGCGCGCCGGGCCGGGGTGGCCTACCCCCCGGGCGGTCCACCCGCCGCATGCAGACTAGAACAGACCGACCGAAACGCACGCATGTGTGTGTGTGGGGGGGGGGGGAGGGGTCTCTCTCTAGTCGTCTCTAGTAGGCCACCTGAAAGATAGGCAAATCACGATACAAAACCACTGTACGTGGGGAACCGAAAGCTACAAGGCTCAGTGGTCAGAGATGATACAGGCAAATCCACCCGCTCGCCAGCATACGGTAGTATAACTACGAAGAGATTGAAGGCGTTTTGTTGCAACCCACGGTATTTCGTTTCCCCATACAAAATAAATTATTTTTTGTGACTTAGGACTGTTGCACTGTGAAAATTGGCAGGTTTTAAGAGAAAATTTTCACAAGCACTATGTGTCGACTTGGAATTTATCAACGTACGTACAAGTCTGGGCTGTCATAAATTTACAACATATCTTGTAAATATTAATTACAAAATATATCATAAATTTACAAAGATATATTTTCAGTGTGTTGCAACATATGAGTCAGTATGATGATTTCGGAAGACGTTTGTTAGTAACATGATATTGTTTATAACAATATTTTGCTATCAATGTCAGAACAAAGAGGTACATCGGACATGTAAAGTCATAATAGTTTATGAAACAGGGTTTTATGGGGAAGTGCCATTCACAAATATGGGAAAAAACATGACTATGCAATACACTACTGATCATCCGGTTACTGTTTCACACCTTAAGAGACCCATTTGACTTGACTCTATAGGCCAAATAAAAGTGTTGTTCATTATGAAGGAACTGTGTTTTAATTAAGATAATGTTTTCAATTGTAAAATTTGTGATCTTGCAATCTTAAAAGTATTTTCAACTAAAGTTTGACTTATTGACCATTTGTCTGTCTGGGTGTATACAGAGTTCCCACTGGAAAGAACAGCTGTTCATTATTGTTTATCATTTTAATTAATATACAGTTTGCTGACTACATTTTTCAAATCAATTTGTATTTTTGTGAGTATGCAGTTAAAAAGAAAAAAACAACACAATATTGTTATTTATAAGGTGCTGACGTGCTCTTTTCAGCTAAATGGCTGCACACAATCAATCAATTCATATTTAACTTACTTCACGTATCAGCTGACCACTCTTCTTGAAATCAGCTATAGTCAGGGCTACATTATGTAAAATGGAATGGGCACTCTCATTTTCATTGCCTGATACTCCAAGAATACGTCCACATTCTCGAACAAAATATTCTAGATCTGCAGTTTCTTCTGATCCTCCTGGCACAACACACTTATTTGTCACTTGTGCTAGGCGAGAACGATCAGAGCTGAAAGCCTCCTCCAAATCAAAAAGCTCCAAAGGCGGTGGAGGAAGCTCACGGAATGATGGAGGGAAAACCTGTGCAGCAACAGAGTAAAAGTTTTATAGAAGAAAAGAAAAGAGAAGGAAAACAATATTTTAACACTTACTGCAGCTTGCAAAGGAGGTAGAGGTGTTTCAAATTGAGGGGTAATAAGTCTTAATGGTTCGTGCTTAACTCCAAGGGTATCATAGGCACGAACTGCATCTGCTACTCCGCCAGTGTGCAGAGAAAATAATCGAGTGTCAATAAGTGATGTGTAATCAAGTGGAATATCTACTGCACTTTCTTGTAGACAAAGTCTGGGGCAATCAGACAAATAACTTATGTCAGGTACTGGTGTGTAGTCAGCAATCTGGTAACAGAAACAAGTCAGTTATACTATACCTACTCTTTAACTGCTATGATTTAAAGGGCTTATGCTATAAAATTTAGTTTTACCTCAGGATCCTCAGCATCTATTGCATTTAATTTTACTTGATCGGTGGTTAAAAAGCGAAAAATTGCATCCCGTAGCTTATCATTGTCCTCTTTCTCCAAGTAAGGATCAGCAAAAAAATGTCCAGACCCAAGAACTACTAATCGACCTCTTTTTTCTGATAGCTCTGTAAAAAATTAAAGAGACTTTCTGTAAAATTATTTAGAATGATATAGGTGTTGAAACTTTTATTGTTGTATATTTGTTACTTACCTGAAGAAATAACCGCAGCAGGTTGATGAGAATAAAAGGCACATACTGGTCTATTTAAGGGAAAAGCAACTGTTCCTGTGGAAAGAACTGCAACAGCAGGCTTGGCAACACTCAATGTAGCTCCAAATGGATATACAAATTTGAGACTTCTGTAAAGTTAAAAAGTCCGAAAGTAATACTTGAACCACAAAATATGTATTTTTTAATATTTTTTTAGAAATAGGATAAGTTGGAATAACTCAAATCTTACTTACGATTGTTCATTAATGCCATTGACAACTTGGGAGGATCCATTTTTGGCTGATCCTCGTGACAAACCTGCTGATCCAATTCGAGTTGCTGCCTCAGTAACACCCCTGTTGAGAATTCCTCCAGAGACAAGGCACTCCTTGGGATGAAAATATTTATAATAGTGTGTTCGAACAACACAGTCTATATAGGATCAAGCATTAATTAGACAAAGAACTCAAACATTTCTAAAGATAGAGTCAAGTTTAGAAACATACCACTATTCACCATGATACCAAATTCCTCAAGCATAAAATTGATGTTGGTGTTAAATGATTTCTCTCCTCCCTCTCCAAGGAGAACCAATATACTTCCCCCAGAATCTAAATATTTTTTAAGGGTTTCTACTTCTGCTTCAGTAAATTTCTGACGAGGACCCGGTAGCACAAAGAGGGTTGCACCCGCAATGACTTCTGAGTTTATTTCATCTTTATTAACAACAACTCGCCAACTTCCCTTCAGTTTGCGATGAAGTGTTTTATAAGTATCATCAAGCCGAAACTGCTCGTTCTTGCTTATATTAAAGACTATTGTATCACTTCTATCCTTCATTGTTTCGTTCTGTGTTTAAAGAAATAGAAAACGAGTTTGATTCTAGCATTGCAACAAAAATTAGCCATTCATTCTGCTGTGTGTAGGCCAAACAAACCTGTCAAAATATAACCAATCCAGTAATTGACAATTTTAAATTATTGCTAAGACCAACAAATCACGTTAATTGAACATTTATCGCATCAAAGCTATATCTTGACCATGTAAGGAGAAAATAACGATTTTGAAATCAATGAAAGAACTGTCAAAACCGAAGAGGATTGTCTGTATGTTGTTTTGTTGATACGCGCCCACCATATTGCATACCAGAATAAACAAAAGAAGAAAAAGCCACATGACCAATACTAAAACACTAAAGTGACGACACTTTTGAGTATTAATTTATGTTTCCTACCAAATGAATGTACTCAATAATATTTAAAAACACGTTGTCAAAAACGTTTCATGATCTTTTCTGGAAATTCTCCATCATACAGTGGACATACATGTGGTGATAATGGTAGTGCATGTTTTATTTCCGAGGTTGGCGTTTACCCCCACTTTCTCCTAGCAGAAGAAAATAAATTCAGACAAGACACGAAGTCAAGTGGCTCGCCGCTGACAGGCATTCGACCTCAGTTCATCACTCCAGCTTGTCGAGGAAGTATCTCCCTTTCCACTTTACTCAAAATGGTGAGTCCTACTATTTAAGGTTACTTACTTACTTAGGATCATTGGTGAAGTTGGTTACATGCTGACCTGTTGTATGACTCCTTAAAGTTTAGTTTTATCTATCGGCCATAGGCACTTTGCTAGTCTGACCTTGGACTTTCGTAAGGTCAAGTTTTTACGAAACTCATTTAGGTACAGAGATGACCTTGCCCAATGTGCTGCGCCAAACTTGAACCACTTACACGAGTCCATTTCTTACTGACAGTGCAGCCATGCTAATTCATGGCAGTGGGCGTTACGTGGTCTGTTCCTCCGCTAGGTTAGATTTATTTGTCTTCGTTGGCCTTACCGGCTTTTGCACCCTCAAGCTGTTTATTCGACTCTATCTACTTAATATGTGGTATTGACCCTTCTGCCACATTTTGTTTTCATGGGGGTAAAATTAGCACATTTTGTGTTTTCACTTGTCCATGTGACAAGAAGTGTAAAGGTTGTCTGAATGTTAGTTGTATTTATTCAGGGCACTTTGCCAGCTGTCATCCTTATCTCTTATTTGCTATCTATCCATACTGAGATAAGCTGATAAAGAATGGTTCTTACTCCAGTGGCGTTCCATCTTTTGTTTCAACAGGCCCAACCCATCAAGGTGGTTGTTACCGGAGCTGCTGGACAGATTGCCTACTCCCTCCTTTACCAGATTGCCAAGGGTGATGTATTCGGTGACAAGCAGCCTATTATCCTCCACCTGTTGGACATTCCCCCCATGATGGGTGTCTTGGAGGGAGTTGTGATGGAACTGGCTGACTGTGCTCTTCCCTTAATCCATGGTACAACAACAATTCCTTGTACTTCCTTCCTCTTGTGATGGCAGATAGTTTTCATAGAGTTTGGTTCTAGGTGTTGTCCCGACTGCTGACCCTGCTGTTGCATTCAAGGATGTTGAGGCTGCATTTTTGGTTGGTGCCATGCCAAGGAAACAGGGTATGGAACGCAAAGACTTGCTCTCTGCCAATGTGAAAATCTTCAAAGTTCAGGTATTTATTCCACTTTTTAATGCTGCTGAAAGCAAAACCGAAGGGATCCAGATTATACTTTCTTTCTTGTAGGGCCAAGCACTTGATCAGCATGCTAAGAAGACAGTCAAGGTTCTAGTTGTTGGCAACCCTGCCAACACTAATGCTTTGGTTTGCTCGCGCTATGCTCCTTCTATTCCCCGTGAAAACTTCTCCGCTATGACCAGGCTGGACCAGAACCGTGCTCAGGCCAACATTGCTGCCAGGTGAGATTGCCAGTGTAAAGTGCTTCAGTATTTGCCTTGTACTATACATTCTTGTTCCACAAGGTTTCTATTTCTTACACAACACGATTCTTTCATTCAGGCTTGGTGTAAATATTGCTGACGTCAAAAACGTGATTATTTGGGGCAACCATTCCTCTACTCAGTACCCAGATGTTAAGCACGCTACCGTCACCAAGGGTGGAGTTTCTAAGAATGTGTACGAGGCTGTCAATGACGAGGCCTTCCTTAAGGGAGACTTTGTATCAGTAAGTATAAGTTTACTTTTGTTCACACCAATTCAAATGCATAAATTTTAGTAAATATTTAATTTGTTTTTCCCTGTAGACCATTCAAACCAGGGGTGCTGCTGTTATTGCTGCCCGCAAGATGTCATCTGCCATGTCTGCTGCCAAAGCTGCCGGAGACCACATGAAGAGCATCTGGCAGGGTACTGATTCTGGTGAATGGGTCTCAATGGGCGTTGTTTCTGATGGATCCTATGGTGTTCCCGCTGACATTGTCTACTCCTTCCCTGTGACAATCAAGGACAAGAAGTGGACCATCGTCCAGGTATTTATATCTCAAGTGTGCTCTATTATGCTCATTCATAACTATTTCCTCACATCAATCTTTATTACAGGGTCTGCCCATTGATGACTTTGCACGCAGCAAAATGGATCTTACAGGCAAAGAGCTTCTTGAAGAGCGTGAGGAGGCATTGGCTGTGTGCCAAGATTGACTTGTGGCTGCCCCAACTGACCACAGCAAGCTGTAGGGCTATTCATCCACCAACTTTGCCCCAAAGCATTTTGCCCTCGTTAACAGCACAGTTGGGGACTCGGACACATCACAATCCACCTTGCTTCTTTTTTATGAGTTTTTTTTATTTGAATTTGTTTTTTGTGTACATACTTTAGTATTTTATTAGTTGTGGTATTAATTGTAGGGCTTGCAAACTTGCCACATTTCTCATTGTACCTAGTCAGCAAACTTGCTAATCGCTACATTCCATTTTAGCTACCTGAGTTATTCCGTACTTTATTTGCCTTTGCAATTTTACCAGCATTTTAAAGCATATATTTTTGTATTTGTATTGTAGGCATTCTGTTATTTTAATTGGTGTCTGGTGCCCCTTCCCTCTGCTGCTGAGGGCAGTATTCTAGTTTCATGTGTTCAGGAAGCATTTGTGCTTCTTCAAATGTGTAAGAACAATAAGAATCTTGACAGAGTTCAATATAAAATTGTATTTACGTAAGTGATCAATAAAAAATAAACGGGTCTGTTGGAATTTAATTTGTTATCATTAACCTCAGTCAATTATTGAATATATTTGTTTCACATGGAATGGTTTAGTAGTGTGTACAAGTACTTCAATCAGCCACATCAATTTAAAGAACTTCTTTATTAAAAATCCCAACAATATTAGTGTCAAACCCACCATATCCAGAAACAGCAAAGGTAACAATTTGATAGCACCATATATTTAACAATTTGACAAATCAAGCAACAACTTCATTTAACAGGATGCAGTATCACAAAGAATCACAATCTAGAGAAAAATGGTAACACATTTACCTTGACAAGATTCACATCCCTTTCACTTAAGCATACTTAAAAAATGTTATAAAAAGAGAAATGCGATAGAACAGTGAGGAACCAGCACTGGTAGAGAGAGGGAGGGTGGGAGAATGTCAATCAATGAAAGACAACATAAAAATCTGAATGTTAGAAAACCACCAGTATTAATAAAAACAAATTAAAGAAACTTCACAAAAGAAAATAAAAATATTTTACACATAAATCTACGCATGTAATTAATGTCTTCAGAGGTAGATAAGGAAATAAATACCCAAAACCTGACAGTAACATGGAGCCTTGCAGTCAAAGCTCGCTATTTATAGACCTAAGTTTAGTTCACCTGAGAGAGCAGCGACTATTTATATTTGGATATAGGATAACCATTTATATGGAAATTCTTCCTTGAAAAATATGGAACGGTTCACATGGCAGTCATGGCACATTTAAATTTGTTTTCTATGAGTAAATAAATTAGTTGAGAAATTTTCTTATCCCAGATTCAAATTGAAACAATACAAAATAACAAAGCAGAGTAAAGATTGATCAAACCTCAGCTTAGAAGCACATAGGAAAAAGCAAACACATCAAGATTGAAAACTCAACATACAAGTTTATCAACAAGTTCAATTTCAGCAATCAAATGGGTGTAAATATAAAAAAAAAAAACCCGTCATATCATAGAAATTAAACTTTTTTTAAGAAAATTATTTCTTCCTCTGCTTTTCCATTAAGAATCACGTTCAGTTTCCGGCATAAGGTCATACCAAGCAGTAAATCCTTTCACTAAATCCAAGTCTCCCAAATTCAGAATAACCTGGAATAAAAATCAGATTTCTTAAATTTTAACAACTACCGTATGATTTTGAAAGCAAAATGGCACCAACTTACTTGTCCCATGACAGGGCTCTGAGATTGGAACCAAGTCTTTTTTGTAACAACAGTAACTTCAAGCTGGCGTGAATTAATGTCTCCAAGGGATATTATATACTCAAATGTTTCATCATATGTAGGGTTGCAATTATCTTTCATGACCTGCAAAATTCAACAATTTGGTAGGGTTCTTTGTTAATTCAATACAGGAGACAAATGAGTCCAAACACATTTGGAAACATGCAAATAATTAACATTTTAAAAATTACCTCAGTTTTCCGTTTAGATTCTTTAGATCTCTCAGGAAGGAGGTATAGTTTCACATAAGGGTCAGGAATACTGTTCGGATCCTTTGAGGGTAAATTCCTAAAACAAAAGGAAATATTTTAAAGATTGTGAAAGCTTCTGTGGCACAGGCTCTAATCATTAGAAGACACTGATGAGGGGATACGTACGCCACTTTGTGGATAACTACCACGAGACGTTGTCGTGGAACAGCATAACGTAAGGTCATTTGAATGCGCCCTAAGCCAGCTTCACCAGCCGAGCTAAGAAAAACAATAAAAGGACCACAAAATGAAATTTGTAGAAACGTTAGTAAGTACCTAGAAATCTAACGTAAAACAAAAAGATCTTACGATGTTGCACTGGGTGTGCGGTGAAGCACAGTTGCATTATTGGTTGACTCTAGGGGAGTGCTTAATTCCTCAGAGAAATTTTCTGCTTCCTCCTGAACTGATGTCTGGGTGGAAAGTTTATCTTTTGATGGCTGTACACTGGACACACTACTCCCACCAACACTCTTTCCTCCCACACTTTGCCCTCCGACACTCTGTCCACCCACACTCCTCACTGAGTCACCACGAGAGAACTGCTTGCTCAATGCCTTTGGTGATTCTATGAAAACAAATATTTAATATTAAAAAACTTAACACTACAGAAAATAATTTATTTAGGGTTGGCAAAAGCAAAGTAAATGGTAAATGAGTTGGATACCAAATAAAATAGATCTTGAAGTTCAACAGCTTTAATTTTGATTTTGTAATAAAATTGGAACAGAACTGAAGAGGAAAAGTATTATTTAGGGAACACTCAACATGGAAAGCATCCTGTGGACTGAACAAATGTCATCCACCAATTCAATAGTCTTCCGTTGGAAAATTTGCAGGATGAGGAGGGATGTTTATCATTTCTCAAAATGTTTAGATTAGTGTTGTGGTCAGGATTCTTTTGTTTTTAGTAAACATTATTGGGGGAAGAAAGCATGAAAAGAGAAGTGAAGTTGCTGGATCACCTGACATAACACAGAAAAATGGAACAGTAGCTCAAGAGATGAGCTATAGTCTTGACATGGTGCTCCAGGCCCACTTACCTCTTTTGCTGGAAATACTTGATCCATCTACAGCATCATCATCACCTTCCAAAAGAGGACCATCTATCTCTGGGTCATAATGTTTCAGAATCTAGAGAGGCAGGAAATTAAAAAATTCTCAGAGGTGCTACAAAGCTTTACAACACGCCTGTCATTGAACTTATCTTCCAATGATCCAGATACACACCCTTAATCTCAAAGAAAGCCTGACTCTGCTAATAGGTCCAGAATGTTGCAAGAGCAGTGGTTGGTCACTAAGTTCCAAATTTTCACTGGTCAGAAGTTTGGCTAGATGGTATTCCAGCCGGCCAATATCATTGTTAGTTTTTTGGTCAGTAACCTGTAAAATAAAATAAAATTATTGTAATACTGTCAAGTTTACTTAGCCTAGTACAAAAAAGGATTATTAAAATGCAAGAGACCTTACCTTCAGAGTAAATGAATCAGTTTCAGGATTCTTCACAAGGAAAGTAAAACCTCTCTCCCATACAGGAGAATCGGTGCGGAAGATACCATGAGTGCTCTGTGTGTCTTTGCCGACCCCAAGAGTGGCAATGGGATCAGGTCTTCGCCCAGGACGAGCATCCTGAAAATTCACAAAATGGATAGTTGATAACTGCATATGTTACATTCTCATCGAGAAAAAGTAGCCAGGAAAGTACCGGTAAGTTCTTAGCAGAGTCAAGGTAAACCATCAAAATGGCAGTGCTCATAGAAGTAACTCGTAGCTGTTGTGTTTCTGCTAAAGCCTAGAAGGAGAACCACAAGTGAATCATTTTCTTTACATCAAATCAATTTGCTAAATTTGCAGCTCTTCACTGCATTTTCAGGTTACCATAAATTATAACTTACTAGGGGTAGAGCCTGAAGGTCATCAGTAAGTGTATGCCAAGACAAACGCAGGTGAACCATGCCATGTTTAGCTTCTTCTAAAGTTAGCCACTAGAAAATAATTTTAAAAAAGTTCGTTTAAACAATGAAAAATATTGAAACAAAAGAAAAACAGTGGAGAGCAACTAGATAACATATGCTTACAATGTCTAGCTCTCCTTTCTTCACCACTGTGCTTACTTCAACAGATGCCCTAGAACATAATTATTCTTTGTTTAAAAAATGTTTAAAAATTTTGGTGACACAGAAAAATATGATGCCGCATTTGCTATATTTTCTAATTACCATTCATGATTCATATTATTGTTTAAAAAATATGGAAAATTTTACAAAACTCAAAAAAAAAATGAAAAAAAAATAACACACTGTAAAAAGCTAGCAAGCTTGAATACAAGACATAAAATTAAGCCCACCGAAATTTGGCACATCTTCCCACTCAAAACCAGTATAAATCGCACATAAGCATGCTAAAGCAAACACATTAAGTGTTTAATACAAAGCAGTGCAGATAAAAGCCACTAAAGAAAAAGCATCCTTTCATTGTTGTAGGTAGTTAAAATTATGGTAAAATTTTAACATTTGAAAACAAAAAGTTTAACATCAAGGCATCTTCCTATATCCCACAGGTGATGATTATGAGTCTAGCCCCAAAGCCTCTACCTATCAAAGCAAATATACGAGAAGTTCTGTTGAGCTGCCTATTCGTTTGGACCATGTATATTTACAATAATGAATCCCACATGAAACATAGAAAAAGAAAACATACTACCTTCCCATATAATCGTCGTCACTCCCTTTATCATAATCAAATAATCGTACTAATACAGTACCAGCAGAGGCGTACATCAAATACTGAGAACATGAATAAACATTCCTATTAGTAAAAAAAAGAACAATTTATTGAGCTTCTAGAAATTTCTCTCTACGAGAAAAAACGGAAGCAGTATTGAGATCTCAGTAGTCTGACTAAACAATAGTGTAATTGATAAATTGTAGCCCACTCTGTCAATCTCCTTCAAGGTGCAGGAAAAGAAAAGAAAGATAAGTAGAAGAAGAGGAAGAAAAGGGATACCTTCCACACCAATCATCTTGCAGGTAAGTTTCTCCGTCTTCAACAGAGACATCCAGAAAGATATTATTGGTGTTTTCCAGTGGGATCTGACACAAACAGGAATGTAAAAACTGGTTGACAGGCAAAGAGGGAAAGGAGTCTGAAAATAATATTGGAATAAAGTTAATGGGTTTCAGGGCTTAAAATCACTAAGGGTTGTGATGCTACACAGTGATAAATTGAGCTTAATATAATTTCTCAAAAATAAGATGACATGAATGTCCATATACTCCCTTAGATTTGGAAGCACAATTTAGAAAAACAAGGAAATTTTCCTTTAAAGAAATTAAAGCAGATTAAGTATGTTTTAAACATTATTTTCAAACAATAACATGTAATTAAAAAAAACAAAGCCACTGGATAAAGGTTAGAAAAAATGGAAGAGCATAAAAAGGAAAAACCAAAATTTGTTGCCAATCACACAAGAAATATAAGTTATACCTCCCCAGAAAATCATCATTCTGGACCCCAGGGAAACCAGGATCCCAGTCCCAACACTGCACTGTAATGATTTGTGCCTTCTGCGAAGATACTTCTGCCTTGGGACAATCAATATGCATTAATCTAAGACGGGGTCTATCAAACTGGACCAGGAAATCACTGTGCTACATAATTTAAGCAGTAATCTTCTTCACCAAAAACTTAACTACATACACCTACTGTAAATAAGGAAAGATATAGTAGAAGTGCCAGCAGTGCCAATAAACAAAATATTGCTGTTTGATGGAACAAGTAAGAAAATCCTTTAACTTCCAAAAACACAAGTCACCAGGCATGTTACCAAAGAACAAAATCAGGATTCAGGCATGCAAAAAATATATCTTACAAATCAGATATACCAACAGAGATGGGGGGAGGGATAGTAAAGGTTGTGTAGTTTGCTCCAGTTTGTTTAACAGTAGAACTGTTTATACAAGTAATTTATAGGATGCATGCTTATCACAATTTCAAAGACATCCACGAGCAAAGCTTGGGGGCAATCACAAAATTTGTTTACATTAGATGCATTACAAGAACAAAGGTCAAAACGAGGGTTTTTGAATGTAAGAAAACACACTGATAGAGGTATTAGGTATACTATCAGCAACAGACAAGGGATACAAGAAAAGAAAGACACTTTTCCTGTAAGTGCTGATTCAATGTGTAATGATTTAAGAAGGATTGTACTATACAAAACCTAATTTTGTTATTTCTGGGGACTTCATAGTTTTACCAATGGAAATAAAAAAAAACAGAGAAGGCTCAGAGTGTGTTCTTAGAGATTCAGCAACATGCTCTTTTAAAGTAAATGGAAAAAAATATCAGATTTAATACATATGCATTAAAACTAAGGGTGAGAATGTTACCTAAGTGTTTAACAGCGAAGAGAAGCTGGAGTTTAAAAGGTGTAATTTAGTGGATACCACCACCTACTGCTGCACAATGTACAAGAGCATAAAAAATATCTCTCACCTTCCTAATTTCTCATCTTTGCGTGAATCATCCTTATCGAAGAGAAGAACCGTAACAGTCTGGGCCCGAGGTGCATAAACCTCACACTGAATGGGATGAATTACGCTTTCCAAAATTATTACTATAATACTAAATATAACAGTTGAGTAAAGATTGAAAGACTGAAAGATGCAGATGTACAGTATTTGGGTAGAGTTAGATTGATGAGATCACAATGATCACCACAGATGTTCTCTTCTTGATCATAGTTAATTAATATTGTGAGAAAACGCACAAATAAAAACAAAAAACACAATCCTGCTTTTGATGGAGTAACAGTTAAATTATGTGTGGTTTAAGTACTGGCACTTACTGATAGGTACATATTAAAATGTAGCAGGCTTCAGATGAAATGAAATCACAAACCGCAACCAACAGGGAACAAAATCAAAGAAACCAGACAAAACATTGCACAACTTACCTCACACCAATAGTCCCACTTGGGGCTCACTGTATTATTAATTATCTGGGTGCGGAATTGCTGGGCACCCACTGTAATAATGGCATAAGGATCAGACTTGCCTTTCCCAAGCACACCAATATCCATCTTCATCAGTTCTTTTGCTTCTACAACATGTACTCTTAAGACACCCTGGGCAAAAAGGAAGAGTTAGATTGTTTTACTTGAAAGTTCAGTATTTTAGTAAGTAAAGCATACCTCAGGTTCTGGAGTCTTTAAAATATGGGCAGGAACTACATCACTTAGAGTAATTGGCAACTTGTTGGGCAAGACCATCAAAGCTGCAACTTGTTCCACAATTATTCGACGCAAAATATCACTGAACAGGACAATAAAAACTGATTAGACATGTACCACAGGGTAGTATGAAATTTAATTAAAATAGAATGGTTGTGAGGAAAGAAATTACCTTACTCCAGGCACATCAAGAACATCTGCAGCACCAACTAAATTGAAATCAATTGTAGGATTGTTCAAGAAAAACAGTTGAAGACCACCAACTAGTGGTATTGTCTGGATTAGTGGTTTCATAACTACTCGTAACATGCCATGAAGCTAGAAATGACAAGTAAACAAGAAGGTACAGAACATATTCTGTTTAAGATTACAAAATGGCAACCCCATTTTAAAAATAAATTCCAACCTGAAAATCTTTAATTCCACCTGGAATGCCGCTGAGAGTAAATGATATGTCGCAGTCTCCAGCATAGAAGAAGTCTAAATCCATGATGATCTCATTCCGAGAAACATTATGATCATAGACTTTAACACCTCCTACTCTGAATGGAATGGTCCCAAGGATCATTTTATCAAATTTGAAACCAGGCAATTTAAAGGCTGCTAAGGCATTTCGTATATTTGGTTCAATAACAGTCCTAAGTAAATCTCGGGCATAATGATTTGCATTTGGCCAAAGTTGTCGTACAATCTGAAATTATAGAAATGAGCAATACAAAAACATAGCTCCTTGATTTGTAAAAAGATTTCCAGGGAACCAAAAATAGAAGGAACTTACTCTGTTCACCCATTCTGCTCGTTCAACATCAGGGAAGTACACCTGCAAATTGAATATAATAAGATATAAACAAAGAGTGGAATGGAACTTAAACAAAGTTAGTAACAGAGGGTACAGCAAATTATTAAGTGTAATACGGGACTTCAACAATGCATACCCAAGCAGGGAGCTCATCAATACGAGCGATGATCACTTCCTTTTCATTGCTCATGGCAGCAGCCTTGGCCAAAGCCCTACGGGCATCTGAGGTCTTCTTCCACTCGTCCCGGACCACGGACAGGATGACAGGCCCTATCAGCCATGCCACGCTGATATTGTAGTACCCCAAGAGGTACACAATCGCCACAGTGCCAACCTTTTTGGTGACACTATACAAAATACTCAAGACTCCCGGGCTAGATGACCTCCGTACGACGGGATTGGGGTTAGACCCGTTGTTGCTCTCAGGTTTGCTGGGAACAACCATGATGAATTCCTTAACTTACGTATGTCGACCATAAATTTTGAACGACTGAACTAAGTACTTGCGCGAAATAGATCAAAAATTCATTGCGCGTGACTGTGATAGAACCACACGCAATGCGAATGGCATTCAATAATTTGCCGACGGGATTAGTTTTTGCTTCTTGTTGTTGATGATTACGTCAAGAAAGCAGAAGGAAGGAACAGCAGAAGGCGCAAAAGCCTGCGAATATATGCATGTTCTTCTATTCGCAGGAAAGAGTAAACACCCACGAAAGAAACAACAACAAACGGCAACGGCACAGAGCATTTTCTAGACGTCTATTACGAAGTTGTTCGAATGCAGATGGCTCGGTTCGTATTCCTGCCTTTAATTCATCTCTATTCCATGTCTTAGATCAAATTCCCACTGTCGTCTTACGATATAACATCCTTGTTTGATTTTAGATTGCACTGGGCGTCCTAACCTTCATCAACTTTCGTTTACCTGCTCAAGTCATTCATTCCTTCATTCATTCCAAGGAAAGGAACTCATATGCCTTGCCTAACTGGAGTTGAGCAGCCCACCATGGATGGTGAAGATCATTTCGCTGAAAATGGAGCAGAATCATCTAGCTGTCTGTCAAAGTCAGGACTTCCGCTAACTCAACTAAGAACTGATCTTTTGGATTTTTTGGTTTCTAATGACCAAGCACACTTCAAATGTCAACATAAAGATGATCCTGAGCTATCTCAGGATTCCAAGAGAAAAATTGCTGAAGATCTTTTGGACCACAGCCCAGCACAATTTCTCAATCGGTTTGGACAATTTCTGCAGAAAGATCACTTAAAATACTTCACAGGAAATGCAGAGCTATTACACAGAGAATCCTATGAGATTGCCTTTCATTTGAAAGAATTGGAACGTTTTTATTGTAAAGCAACACATTCTGTAAGTTACATTTATTACACCAGTACTAATATTGCCGTTGAAAACTTTATCGCTGTACTCTATTTTGTTTCTTTTAAGGTTGATGTAAAGAACCGTCGGTATGATGCACTCCAGAAGATGATTGCTGGAGGTAGCTCTTATTTCTCAGAAGATGAAATGAGACAAAGGAACCCTTACCTGTATGAACAGCTAGTTGGACAGTATTTAACTGAAGAAGAACGAAAAGAAAGAGAAACTCCAGATCTTGAAAACATTTCGTAAGTCCTCTTTCACTAAAATTTTCTAATATTCCATACTTTTTTACTCATTACTGCTTGACTTTGACATCCATCTTCAGATTTGTTAACTTATTGCTGGTAAAAATATCCAAGGATGAAACAAAAGAACTAAAAAACCAACAAGAGAAAGAAGAGAATGGTGAGCAGGCTGATTCATCCCCCAGTAGTGATGAAGATGATGAGGAAATGGTGACAAGCACAAAAAATTGGAATGAGCGTAGCACTTGGGGAGAAACTTCTGATGATATTACCAAATTAATGAACAATAGGAAAAAGAAGAAGACCGAAAGAAAAAAGAAGAAGGAAAATGGGTCTACACCAGTGGAATGTGCTGAATCAGCCAAAGAAATTTCAGATGATGAGAGACTTCTATTAATGCAAGAATTTGTGTCTACCATGTACAACAGTTTTATTGATGGCAAAGACACTGAATTTGATTACAGGTAAGCTGAAAGCAATTTGTGATTAACCTATTTTAGCTTATTTGTTGTGTTTCTTATCTATTCCTTATGCCTTCTTCCTTTAGTCTAGTTGATTATAACCCAGAGTATGACTGTGTTGGGGAACGAGAAAGGGATGAGGAAGAAAAATATTTTGATGCTGAAACCCCAGAAGATGAAGACATGGAAGTGCTTGATGAAACCTCAGATACTGTAGACAGTACAGAGCCTGATAAGTCTGAGTTGCCATCACTTCCATCCCTAGCTGAAAGACGGAAAGCCCAAGAGGAAGAGGAGGACACTCTAGACGCCTTCATGAAAACAGTGTCGGCTCCTGGGCAAACCTCGGACATTGACCTGACTGCTGCTTTTCAAAACTTATCCCATCAGAGTCGAGTTCAACAGCCAGAAATGTCGAGGGTCATTAAAAAGTCCCATGTAATCAAGATAAATCTGAAAAAGAACTGAAAACATCACTGTACTGCACATTACTACCGACGTGCTTTTAGACACATTTCCATTTTTTTTGTTTTTGTTTGTTTGAACGTTTAGAAATAAACTAAGTTAGTTGCAAAGAACCCGTATCCTCGCTGTTGCCCTGCTGGTCGCACTGAAGCCCCCGCCGGGTAGGCAGACCCGCAGCACACGGTCGCCGTGCGGTGTGGCCTACCGCTCGCTCGCAAGGGGCTCCGCTCCGGGGCTGTCCCGGGCCTCCCCCTCCACTCGCCGCCCTGCTTGTTTCGACACTCCGTGGATTTCACCCCCCGCCCCGTGCCGTCAATACTAATGAGACAGTCCGCGCTGCTGCCCGCCTCGTGACCACACCACACGGCCGACACGGCTTCACTTCCGGAGCCGTGTGGTTATTTGGCAGCGACCGCCCCCCCCCCTCCCTCGGGTTACACACTAGGTGAAGAGCATCAGCAGCAGGCATGCATGTGGTGAGCCATAACTGCAAGAGAGGGAGAGAGAGACGCCGTGCTTCTCCCTCTCTCTCTCGCTCTCGGCGTGCGCGACGCACTCACCACCTCTGCCCGGCTTCACTTCCGGAGCCGTGTGGTTATTTGGCAGCGACCGCCCCCCCCCCTCCCTCAGGTTACACACTAGGTGAAGAGCATCAGCAGCAGGCATGCATGTGGTGAGCCATAACTGCAAGAGAGAGAGAGAGCCTCGCCGTGCTTCTCCCTCTCTCTCTCGCTCTCGGCGTGCGCGACGCACTCACCACCTCTGCCGCGCTTGACATGGAGCGCATTACGCTGCGGCCGCAGCCGCGGGCCGGGCCGGGCCGGGGGTCACAGCCGCAGGCCGGCGGCGGGCCGCGTGCTTTCTCTGGCACGGGGATGGCCCGTGGGCCGCCAGTGGGCGCGCGTCACCGCAAGCCCGGCGCTGCCCCGCGCCTGCCCCGCCTGGCACAGTGGCGCATGCCGACCGACCAGGGGGATCGCTCCTGAGCACACACCTCCAAGCGCTTCCGGGTGCCGCCGCCTCGCCTTTTCATTCTCGGCCCATCATCGCCGATTGCGGGGAGAGTGTATATGAGTAGGACGCGTTTTGTGCTAGAGATGTAACAAAAAAAGAAAATTCTCTGGAGAGTCATCGAGAACTAGTGTCGTGTTCTCATTTTCCCCATAGTGAGAAATGTTTTGTTGGGCATGAGAAAAAGTTTGTTTAGGTTTTAACTTGCCCCGATCACCTTAATCTAGAACTGTTTGTTTAGTGGGGCAATGCGGAATCAAAATTGTGAACTCCTGATCAACACGCGATTGCAGCGCGTGACCCACACCGTGGGCCCAGTTACATAGGATTACCTACATCCGCCGCACCTGTCCTCTTACGTGAATAACGACTCGGATAAGGGATTGCCCAGAAAGTGCGTCCGTTTGGCTTCGGATCGATTCTGCCACTGCCACCAACCGGAGCCCTAGCGCCTGCGAGACTCGGGGTAGGCCACTCCGCAGTACACGCGTGCACTGTCGGCAAGACGTTGCCTACCTACACGGCGCTACGAGAGCGAGCCCTGGCTGAATTAGGCAATTTCTCAACGGCGAATGACGGACATACTTTCTGGATGATCCCCAAGAATTGGTAGATAGCAGTCCACCCACACGTTTCTGATTACACTCCATGATAGTAGAACGTAACTCGAAAATCAACTGTAGGAATCAACACCCTTCCTGTTATGCTTGTAACTTTTCGTGCCTTTACAGAGGCACTAAAAGATTCGCACCCATGAAAGGCACGAAAATGTTCCAAAAGTGCTAAATTTTAGTGCCTGTAGAGACTTCCCTGCCTTTTTTAAGGTATAAAAATTTGACACCTCTAAAAGGTACTAAGTCCTACAATTGTACGTATTTCCAGTATATTGTTGGAAAAAATGATATAAACGAGAGGCACGCCTTAGCGCTCTCAGCCACTGTTATCTCAAGTGCGATAAATTTCATACAATTTCATGCGACAATAATAGCCCAAAAGCGATTCTCACATCATATTGCACCAGGGGAGGCATAAAAACAAATTATCGCGCTTAATTCACATTCGTCATTAGTGCGTACGCACGGACACATGGATGCCGTCACGAGGCACTCAGGCGCCATGGCGCCTGTCCAGCTGAGCGGCCATACAGGCCACCACGGGCGTGTTCGGGCGCTTTTACGGCTCGCGCCTTTGGGACTCACATTTTTCCCGTCTCGCCAAAGATCGAATGCGGACCGATGGAACAGGCCGCGTGTCGACATGGCGCGGCGCACTTCCGGTGCGCGAGGGAAGTCCCCGATAGAGCGGGGCGCGACCAGGAGCAGTGCGAGGGGTACTCGGGCGGCACGCACGAGTGTGTTTCTTTTGACACTCGGGCACTGACCGCCCCGCCCCGGAGGTCCCGGAGGTTCGCCCTTCCGAACGCCACGCGCTACGCTACGCTTCGTGTTACGTGAGAGCGAGAGCCCCTCGCCCGACCCGACCGCAGAGCTGCTGGCGCGGGGCGCGGCGGGCCAAGTGCGCGCGGACTACGCCTTGGCTATGGACGAACGTCGCCCAGCAGGTGCCATTTTTAAACTCGGCTGACCCACAAACGCTCTGGTCACGTCAGGCCCGAGGGAAGCACCTCCTCCTCCTGGACGTGTGCGACGCGCCGGGAGCATCGCACATTCGCACACGCGGCTGGTTTCACTCGGGCATCGCGGGCCACCGCCGGGTTGGCAGCCGCACGGCGACGGACGGCGGCGCTCGGCGGGGACGGGTCGCGCGCCAGATAAGGCGCCACTCGCCAACGGCTGGACAGAAAAATGTTGGCGAATTTTTGTTTCGTTTCTCTACCAATTGACACACATATGACACACACACAAGGGTACAGAAAAATGTTGGCGAATTTTTGTTTCGTTTCTCTACCAATTGGACAGCTGAACGTGACCCACATGATGCTCGGGGGCCCACCACGCCCCACCATATACACAGTGGGGGCCTCCTGGGGAACAATTGGGAGCCGGCGCGGAGGGACCCCGCCCGGTCCGGCACCGACTTACTGCAGGGCCTCTTTTGAGATTGTTATCCTTCATCGCGAAAGTGAAAAAAAAAGTATCGCACTCCTTAACCCTGGGAGAAAGGGCCATGGGAATCATGCTTCACGCGTCCCCATGCACTCTGCTGCCCAAAGCTCGCGGGGCGAGGAGGGGCGGCCCGGCCAGCAGGGAGGGACGGACAGGCCACCTCGCCCACGCGAGCAGAGAAACAGCGGGCACGAGGAAAACTTTAGGGAAGAACGGAAGGCTGAATTGGGAGGGGGGGGGGTGGTGGTGGTAATAGGACATGAAAGAGGGAGGGAAGCAAGAGCAAGAATAAGAAGAGAAGACGACTGCGGAATGCGGACCAAGGCCTGCCGGTCGGGTTGACAGCGGCCGGCAGCAAAAACCATTCCCATAGACATTTTGTAAAAGGTAAAACTGGCTGCATTTAATTGTGGCGTGACTCCTCGTATGTCGTATGTCGGCCAGCGGACGGGACGGGCCGGCGGGCCGGCAGTCCTGGTAGGCAGTCCCGCGCTTCCGGCCGCCTCCACCGCCCCCCCCCCTCCTCCTTTTCCCCCTCCTCTCTATCCCTCCGCCCCCCAAATGTAGACGGAAATATACTATCGTTATGTTCTGTAGGATGAGCGCATCATCGCCTTTTAAAAAACGAGTGTTTGTGATGACTGTAATGTTTCCCCGGTGTCCTGTCCAGATGTTTGCGTACGACCTACCAGAGAGACCAGCCTCCTCAGACCCGCCCACATCAGCTGTTGGACGATCAGGACACAGCGCGGGACTGATCGCTGAGCGTCACACACTTCGTAAGGCGACTTTTGTTCGTAGGGGTTTCAGTGTCGTAAAAAGAAGGTGGCATCCCCAAGCCGCGATACATCGCGTGTTCCGTTTTGCCTTTGCCGGTCGCGCTTGTATTCGGCTGGTCTCCCCTGCATCTGTACTCTGCAGCAGCAGCAGTAGCAGCAGCAGCATCAGCAGCAGCAGCGGCAGCAGCACGGCAGCCGCTCCCCCACTGCGCTCCTTGACTGCTGTGCGACACGTCGTGCCACAGCCACAGCCTCCCATTTCCTTTTTCTTTTCTTGAAGGAGAATCCTTCTTCACTTTCCGCGCTATGGGATGGGTTCAAGGCGGAGAGCGAACTAGCCGGACCGGCCCCGCAGCGGCAGCGCTGTGGCGTGTTTGCACAACCTCCTAACCCAACCCGGACTCTGGGGAGGACCAGCGGCGACCGTCCCTCAACGACAACGAACACACCCTTCGCAAGTACCGGCGGAAGCAGGAGAACGTGTTAAAAGTGAAAGCAGAAATACAGATCTTGAATCAAAGGAGGGATGACGATGACGATGAGCGGCATGAATGACGCTCTTTCGTCCCATCCACCCCAGTCCGCCCCC